TGCATTTGTGCATTTTAGAGCGACAATTGAAGAACTACGCCAAAGCTTCGTACGAGTCGAAGTAATCGAAATGGATAATGCGCCATTTAGCAGAGGAGTAGCTCTGATGAAAGGTGCAGAGCGTGTCTCTGCTGATGGACTAATGTTCTTTACCGACGTTGACATGTTATTCACATGTGACGCTCTTCATCGAATTAGACTAAATACGATACTCAACGCGCAGGTAGCGATGGGAAGTATAAACCTAATGGAGTGACTAGAAATTGTATGTTTAGGTTTACTTCCCAATCGTCTTTTCGGAATTTTCACCGGAAAGTTGGTCGGAAAACGATCGCCTGTTAGCTGATGCATTTCATTATGGTAGAAGACGTGGATATTTTAGACACTTTGGTTATGGTCTTGCTGCTTTATACAAGGTAGCATTTGGAAAATTTCTGCGAGCATTTTGATTTTTTTTTCACGTATTTGATGTTTTCCATTTGAGGCCGACTTGATTTCGATTGGCGGCTTTGACACAAAGATCGAAGGATGGGGACTGGAGGATGTTGATTTGTTCGAAAAGGTGTGTTTTCTTTACTCAGTTTTACTGCTCTGTATTGCTTGCGAATTGACGAAAGCGGGGCTATAATTCTTAAAGAAATGTCCGACTTTTGCAATATTATGAATAGCACACCCATATTTGATCCGCTCGATCCATTTCGCTAATGGTCAAATCACTGGTGTCCAATAGCAAAGTGGATCACGTGGATGAATTAAATTAAGCATACATCCGCTTTGCTGTTGGCCAGTTCACCGATTTGACCAATAGCGAAGTGGATGAGGTGGATCAAGCGGATCAAGCATGGCGCGTGCCTATGTTTGTTTTTGCAACATGTCAATTTTTTAAAGGTTACTGTCGGATGAAGGCGCAAGAGCAATGTTACTCGAACGGGCGAAAACGCGCCGCGCGCATATTTTCACCGTTATAAACCCTCGCTCTGCGGCTAATAAAGCCGCGCTCGCTCCTTAAGTTTTGCGCCCTCGTCCGGCAATAGCCTATTTTTCATAGTTCATTTTCCCACAGTGATAAGTTAGAGTTTATATGAAGATCTTCTTCATGCCGAAATGTGAAAAGTATCTTGGTACGGTTGCACATTGTCAGACTTGCAGTATTGCTCTAATTCGACTGCAAAATTGCTTTTTCAGGCCGTGAAACGAGGTCTACGAATAATTCGATCTCCTGAACCTGGCTTAGTGCACATCTACCATCCTATTCATTGCCCAGAGACAATGCCACAAGCTCAACGGAATATGTGTC